TCTTTCTTTCTTTCTTTCTCTTTCTTTCTTTCTTTCTTTCTTTCTTTCTTTCTCTCTCTCTCTCTCTCTCCCTCCCTCCCTCCCTCCCTCTCCCAACACTGTAAGTTTTTAAGAAGAGACTGGACAGCCATTTGTCTGAAATGGTATAGGGTTTCCTGCCTGAGCAGGGGGTTGGACTTGATGACCTCCAAGGTCCCTTCCAACTTTATATTATTATTATTAAGATGGCTTCATAGGGCTTTGAGTTGCCAGGAAATTCATCCCACACTGGAGGGCAAACGACATGCCCAAATCCTTAGGTGATCCCTTCAGTCTTTTTTTTTCTTCTTCTTAATTTTATCCATCTGCCAAACTCACCCAAGAGGTAGTCGACTTTGGCTGGGTCCAGCTCCATCAGCGCCACCCGGTTCCATAGATAGAGGGCATTCTGGGAGAAGAGGAGAAGAGGGGAGGGGCCTCAGCTGAAGGTTTTGGCAGCTGCCCCCCTCGCCCTCTAAGTACGGCCAGGGCAGCCCACAAAGAGGGTTGTGTCTCAGGAGCGCCAGGCCGAAGCGAGGATCCCCGGAGATTACTCGAGCGATCCTCAGTGGATCTCTCCTGGAGCAGCACACCACTTGGACGGATCTCTGATGCCCAGGAGAAACCTGAACGAGAATTTGTCACCTCTCCTCTCTTCCCAGCCCTGCATCCATCGGGATCAGAAACCGCTTTGCCGAGCTGCCCGGCTGCCCCCTCACCTTGTCTTTGGGCTTGGCATCCCGCCACTCCTGGACCAGATTCCTGTTGTCCAGCCGGGTCCCCTTGTACTTCTCCTCATCCGGGTATTCCACGTCGCTCATGTTCTTGGGGAACATGTACTTCCGGCCTCCCCCCATGATGACCTGTGGGAGAGACAGAAGGAGGCTGGCGCCCAAGTGCCCAGGCCAGTTAAGGCAGCCCCCTCCCCCCATCAGGGCTCTGCCCCAGGGCTCTGTTCTGGGCCCAGTGCTCTTCAACATCATCAACGATCTGGACGAGGGGATAGATGGGGAACTCATCAAATTTGCAGACGACACCAAGCTGGCAGGAATAGCCAACACTCCAGAAGTTACAGGCTTAGGATACAGGAGGATCTGGACAGACTTGAACACTGGGCGCTATCTAACAAAATGAAATTCAGTGGTGAAAAAAGTAAGGTTCTACATTTAGGCAAGGAAAACCAAATGTACAGGTATAGTATAGGGGGTACCTTGCTCAATAGTAGCAACTGTGAGAGGGACCTCGGAGTCCTAGTGGACAATCACTTAAATATGAGTGTGCTGCAGCTGCCAAAAAGGCCAACACAGTGCTAGGCTGCATTAACAGAAGGATAGAATCAAGATCACGTGAAGTATTAATACCACTTTACAAGGCCTTGGTAAGGCCACACTTGGAATACTGCATCCAGTGTTGGTCACCACGATGTAAAAAAGATGCTGAGACTCTAGAAAGTGCAGAGAAGAGCAACAAAGATGGTTAGGGGACTGGAGGCTAAAACATATAAGGAAAGGCTGCTGGAATTGGGCACGTCTAGTTTAATGAAGAGAAGGATGAGGGGGGACAGGATAGCAGTCTTCCAGTATCTCAAGGGCTGCCCCAAAGAAGAGGGAGTCAAGCTATTCTCCAAAGCGCCTGAAGGCAGGACAAGAACAACGGATGGAAACTAATCAAGGAGAGAAGCAACCTGGAACTAAGGAGAAACTTCCTGACAGAACAATTAACCAGTGGAACAACCTGCCTCCAGAAGTGGTGAATGCTCCAACACTGGAAGTTTTTAAGAAGAGACCGGACAGCCATTTGTCTGAAATGGTATAGGGTTTCTTGCCTGAGCAGGGGGTTGGACTAGATGACCTCCAAGGTACCTTCCAATTTCTTCATCACCACCACCACCACTACCACCATCATCATCATCATTATCAAGCCTGCAGGGCAGAGACACCCCAGGAGGGCAGGGCATCGGGGAGGGCAGAGGTGGTGCCCAGCAACATGGGCTCTGAGATGCAAAGGCTTCCCCGTGACGAGGCCTCCATCCCTTCTGACGCTGGCCTGGCAGCTTTTACCCAGCCAGGGATTTGGCTGCAGCTGCGGGAAAGAGCCCAAGACCAATTTGAGGCAACCTAAACGCTGCCCAAGGGCTGGGTTGGCGCCTTCAGTCTCTTTCCCCCAATGAAGAGGATTTTAATTCAGCTGGGCAAGCATCTGAGGCGGCCTTGATGGAAAACATTATTTATTTGACCACAGTCCCTTTCGGCTGGCGCTGCAGCCTCCTCTTTGGATTTAGAGTCTTAGAAGGTGAATCACGAAACTGCAGCCCCAGCGAAATAATCATAATAATTACACGCCGAGAGATCTATATTAAATAGAATTGGCCGCCTAAGGTATAATTATTTCCAGGCTAGGAACAAAGTTAAAATTATAAAAAAATGGCCCTATTAAGCTACTTAAACGACCGATTTAGAGCTCCTTTTTTCGGAGGGTTTTGTTTTCAAACGGAAAGACGCACCTATTTATTTACCCCCAGAAAAATGAGCTGCCCCATTCCACGGGCTGACGTTGGCAGCAAAACAGGCACGGCCATTGGCTGGCCGGCCTCAACCCAAAGGGCAGTGGCACTGTGGCCTCAAGGGGGCACCTGGTGCCAAGGGCTCCGTGGAGGACAGTCGCAGCTCCCGGCACCCGGAAGCAGCTGGGATGGCCAGTTGTGCGCCAGGGTTGAGCCAGGCCTTGGGAAGAGACGGTAGTTGTTTCAGGGCCTCCTGGCATCTCCCCTGCCAAGGCTGCCTCCCGTGCCAGTCCAGGGTTTCATAACCAGTGCAAGGAGTGAGACTTCTGCTCATGGGAAATCCGAGTTCCCAGCAAGGCCGCAGAGTCTGGGAACGGCCTCTGGGATAATCCAGGCTAATTCCTTCTGAGAATTCCTGCTTTGTGTCCGATGAGCTTCTGCACTCCGGGTGCCTTTTGCCCCATTCTCTTCCCTGTCCTCCCAGCGGCCTCTCCTTCGGTACTCCTTGTGCGGATTGACACGCTGGCCTGCCTGTTTTCTACTCCTGATGCTTGGTCGTTTTACGGAATCCAAATGCTGGTCGGGCACTGCCAGATGTAGGGATCAGACCCAGCAACCTTCTTTGAAACGAGGGGAGCCGTTTGCAAATGAAAAGGTGCACGGCTCCTTTTGAGACCCACCAATGCCGCTGTCTGCTCTGGTGAAGCGAGGAAGAAGCGTTGTCAACAGAGGGTGCTGCATCCTCTCTCTGGACCGGGTGGCACTCCTGGGAAAGCCGAGCGGCCGGGCTCGGATTGAGATGTCCTTGTTTTGTTCTGCTGTCAATGGCCTGGATCAAAGGTCANCTTTCTTTCTTTCTTTCTTTCTTTCTTTCTTTCTCCCTCCCTCCCTCCCTCCCTCCCTCTCTCCCTCCCTCCCTCTCCCAACACTGTAAGTTTTTAAGAAGAGACTGGACAGCCATTTGTCTGAAATGGTATAGGGTTTCCTGCCTGAGCAGGGGGTTGGACTTGATGACCTCCAACGTCCCTTCCAACTTTATATTATTATTATTAAGATGGCTTCATAGGGCTTTGAATTGCCGGGGAATTCATCCCACACTGGAGGGCAAACGACATGCCCAAATCCTTAGGTGATCCCTTCAGCCTTTTTTTTTCTTCTTAATTTTATCCATCTGCCAAACTCACCCAAGAGGTAGTCGACTTTGGCTGGGTCCAGCTCCATCAGCGCCGCCCGGTTCCATAGATAGAGGGCATTCTGGGAGAAGAGGAGAAGAGGGGAGGGGCCTCAGCTGAAGGTTTTGGCAGCTGCCCCCCTCGCCCTCTAAGTACGGCCAGGGCAGCCCACAAAGAGGGTTGTGTCTCAGGAGCGCCAGGCCGAAGCGAGGATCCCCGGAGATTACTCCAGCGATCCTCAGTGGATCTCTCCTGGAGCAGCACACCACTTGGACGGATCTCTGATGCCCAGGAGAAACCTGAACGAGAATTTGCCACCTCTCCTCTCTTCCCAGCCCTGCATCCATCGGGATCAGATACCGCTTTGCCAAGCTGGCCGGCTGCCCCCTCACCTTGTCTTTGGGCTTGGCATCCCGCCACTCCTGGACCAGATTCCTGTTGTCCAGCCGGGTCCCCTTGTACTTCTCCTCATCCGGGTATTCCACGTCGCTCATGTTCTTGGGGAACATGTACTTCCGGCCTCCCCCCATGATGACCTGTGGGAGAGACAGAAGGAGGCTGGCGCCCAAGTGCCCAGGCCAGTTAAGGCAGCCCCCTCCCCCCATCAGGGCTCTGTTCTGGGCCCAGTGCTCTTCAACATCTTCCTCAACGATCTGGACGAGGGGATAGATGGGGAACTCATCAAATTTGCAGACGACACCAAGCTGGCAGGAATAGCCAACACTCCAGAAGACAGGCTTAGGATACAGGAGGATCTGGACAGACTTGAACACTGGGCGCTATCTAACAAAATGAAATTCAGTGGTGAAAAAAGTAAGGTTCTACATTTAGGCAAGAAAAACCA